CCTATTGAGGAACTAAGGCGTACTTATTTTATCGAAGAACCATGAAATCTGTCCTAGAAACTTTAATAGAACATGGTGTTTTTAACTAAGCTTCTAATCCTAAATTTCAAAATCTTCTTACTAAATATGTTTACCATATAATTATAATGAAATCTTATGACCGTAATTAACATTGATGAAGCAGTTCATATGCAGGCTATAGAAATTCATAATGAAAAGAGTAGAAAGGTCTCCTGACTCTCCTCATCATATCCATCTCCTCTTGCTGTTGCACAATCTTTTCCTGCATTCAGAAAATTCCTCAGCTATCTTTCAGCATTTTAAACAGACAAAATGCACGCCATCAGATATTGGTTAACATATGACTATTGCAAAAGCAAACATAAAAGAATCTGTAAGTCCAAGCCAGAGACGTTGTAGCTTCATATGTAATGACTAAATTAACAACAACGTCTATAAATAATGCATATTTTGCCTGCATAATTCTAATGATATTTAACGCCAAATTCAACGAACATAGACACAAAAGAACAGAGAAACTTACCTTAGAAAAAATTTCTCCCTTTTGGCCACTCAACTCCCAAGTTGCTGCTATAATTAGAGAGTAGTAGTTCAAATATTTCCTCATTATAAACCTCTAGAACAGTTATCGGAACAAATCTAACGAGATAACATGCAAATATTCTAAAGAGGCAAAGATTCTTTCCAAGAGGCATATCTTTATGAGATGTCGAGAGTCATGGACTGAATCAAACGAGATAACATGCAAATATCCCGATCCAAAAGTTATGAGATAACACATTTTATGTTTTTTTTTTTGTATATGTTTGGAGTAACTTAGTTCTTCTTCAAACAAACAGATAATTGCTCAAAAGAAAACAGAGCAAAATGGAAAAAAAAAGAAAAAACACAACAAAGGAACAAATAAATGTTTTTTTTTCATTTTGTAGCCTCCTTGTTGACAGGGAGTTTCCTTCCTTTCGCTGCCTCTTGCAGGTCGCTTGTTGTTGACAGGGAGAATTCTTCCTTTTGCCGCCTCTTGAAGTGGCTTGATTCCCACTAAACTTGGAACATAAGAGAAAAGTGATGGACATGGTCTCTTTT